GAGCTATGATGGCATGGCATTCTATCCAGGGTGACAGCTTGAGATTGTCTCAAAAAAAAAAAAAAAAAAAAACTTATACTCTGAAAACAAAATATTTTCAAAATTAATTAAGAAATATTTAAATAAACTGAAAATCATTCTATGTTCATGGAGTAGAGGATTTAACATTTAACATGAGGAGGGTAATACTCCCCAAATTACCTACAGATTCAACATAATCCCTATAGAATTCTGATAATCAGTATAAATTGAAAATCTGGTTCCAAAATGTGTATATGGAGTTCAAGAGATCCAGCATAGCAAAAAAATCATGAAAAAGAATAATAAAATAAAATAGTTTATGCTTCCTGATTTCCAAACATACTATACAGCAAAAGAAATCAAAACATTTTGTTTTAAGCCCAAGACTAGACATATAGGTCAAGCGAATTTAAATTTAGAATTTGGAAATAAACCCATACATCTAAGATCAAATGATTTTGTTAAATACATCAAGACCATTCAAAGGAAAACAGTGTTTTCAAAAAATGGTGCTGGAACAAAGGAATAGCCATATGCAAAAGAATGAAGTTGTTCCTTACCTCATACCACTTATAGCAATTATTTCAAGTGGACCAAATACCCAAATATATAAGCAAAATTATAAATACCTCAGAATAAATTGTAGGGGCAAATCTTACTGCTTTTGAATTTGGCAAAGGATTCTTAGATGATAATACTAATACAAGCAATAGCCAAAATATAAATTGTACTTTATAAAAATTAAATTCTGTGCTTCAAAGAAAGTGACAAGGTAATTATAGAACGGGAGAAAATATTTGAGCATTATTTCTCTAATAATGAACACATATCTAGAATAAATTTTAAAAAACCTTGCAATCCAATTATTAAAAGACAAATAACAAAATTAATAATGGGCAGAGAATGCGAGAAGACATTTTCCCAGAGAAGAGATACGAATGGCCAAAAATACATATGAAAAGTTGCTTCCCATATTTATCCATCATGGAAATGCAAATTAGACCACACCATGCTATTTTTCACTTATTGAGGGGGCTAAAATTAAACAGACAGGTAATAACAATTGTGGGAGGAAATGTGGAGAAATAAGAACACTCCAAACACTGTTCATGGGGATGTAAAATGACCCAGCTGTTTTGGAACTGTCTGGCAGTTGCTCAACCAAACACAGAGTTACAGTATGACCCGGCATTTCTAATTCTGAGTAAATACCACCCCAGAATGAAAACTTTGAATGTGACAAAGGTATATTCTTTTGTTTTACATAAACATTGTGTAAAACAAAAAGAGTATAGGGCGGCGCCTGTGGTAGAGGAGTGGGGCGCCGGTCCCATATACTGGAGGTGGCGGGTTCAAATCCGGTCCCAGCCAAAAACTGCCAAAAAAAAAAAAAAGAGTAAACCCCAAACAGAATATTATCCAGACATAAAAATGAATGATAAGTGCAACATAAAACGTGAATGAACCTTGAAAACATTATAAGTGAAAAAAGTCAGTTACAAAAATCCGTATTGTATGATTCCATTCACATGAAAGTCCAGAGTAGGGAAATCTATTGATATAAAATGTAGACTTGTGGTGAGTAGGGATGGAATGGGAGTAGGGATGTAGGAATAGAGAAGTGGTGGCTGACAGATACATTGTTTCTCCTCAAGGTCATAACAATATAATGAAATTGTTGTACTGGTACCACGTATCTGTGAATATACTAAAATATGTTGTACTAATATACTGAAAACTACTTTAAATAGATGAATTGAATGGTACCTCAAGTATATCTCAATGAAGCTATTAAAAAAGTAGTATGGTCCTAGATTTGTAAAACAAATTTAAGGATGTCTATATTGTAAAGGAATACTTTTGTGTACCTATGTAAATAATCAGGTCAAACCTTTTGAGACTGGCAATATTTTGTATCAAGAATATTCTTTCTTTGATATTACTATAATGAAAAGGAGGGGGTAATTTAAGAAATAAATTGAAAAATTTATTTTGCAATATCTATGATGTATCTATGTATATATTTGTAGAAAACTGATAATAATGCACATCATTCTTGATCATAAAAATACAAATTAATCATTCATGAAGTTCAACTTACTATTGCCTTAAGGATTTGGCAGTTTTACATTTATTTATAAATTCATTTCAGTATTTCTTATATTCTCATGTATGTGCAATATTTTGGTATTTTGTTTTTGTTTTAGTTTTGCTTGTTTTTGGAGACAGAGTTTCACTTTATTACTTAGGCAAGAGTGCCATGAAGTTTTCCTGACTCACAGCAACCTCAAACTCCTCTGCTCAGGCAATCCTGCTGCCTCGGTCTCCTGTGTAGCTGAGACTACAGGTGTGCACCACCATCCCTAGCTAATTTTTTTCTATTTTTGGTAGAGGCAGGGTGTCACTCTTGGTCAGTCTTGTCTTGAACTCCAGAACTCAAGGAATATTCCCAGCACAGCCTACAGTGGTGCTAGGACTACAGGGGTGAGTCACTGTAACCAGGCCTGTCTGTGATATTCTGAATAATTCTTTGAATGGTAAAATCTTACTGACTTTCTCTTAAAGTAATAAGTTAAACAACATCTTTGACACATTTCCATTTTTCACCTGTGAGAGTCATGAATATGCTCTCTTTTAAAATTATCTTCAAATACTTCTTCGTCTTTATCTTTCTGGCATTTAACACAAACTACATAAGGGAATTCAGTAGAAAAAGGAGACAAATCCCTGAACATTTTCTTATTTCCAGGCATCTTTTCCTTTCTTTCATCATAAAAAGCAATTTGTATACAATGTAGTTTACTTGAATTTTTTTACTTTAAAAACAAATCATAACTTTTCTTAATTGGTATATTAAATTCACTTACTGGTTATTGAAAACTTTCAAGAGGGTAGTAGAGATATATTTGTTGACTCTAAGAAGTGTGCCACTGATTGCCATAAAATTATGTTTATAACTTAAATTTTTCAGCACTCCAATAACATAAATGAAAATCTACCTTAACTCTTAACTCCAATATTTTCATACAATAAAAATGGAGATACATTATAATAGGCAAAACATGTTTAATTGTCAAGAATATTTTATTATATTTTTACAGATACATGGTGGTTTCTATTAGCAGATTAAAACAAAGAGAAAATTGAAATAAGTTCACATTTTAAAAAATGTAAGCAATAAATACAGCACTACAATTACCACTAATTTTATGTACAATGGATTACATTTAAACAAACACTAAAGTCCAGAATAGATATTTTATGCATAAATGCACTGGAAGATTACTTCAGAAAAACAGATTTAAATTTTTAGAAAATTAATATATAGCTTCCACAAGTAATCACAGAAAATGGCAATTTTATGTTTTAAAAGCTAGAAATTCCCCAAATTAGTTTCACATACCAAAGAAGTTGGCTTCTAAAAAGTAACAGATTTACTTTTCTTTCTCAGTCTGATACAAAGATCTTAATTAGCACTTCAGCTTTAGAGAAGTCTGATATTTAAAAACCTTACTCCTAAAACTAACACTGATGAATCATGAACTGACTGGTACACCTGAAGATCATACAATAGATGAACTCTAGCTATAAAAGAATTCTGATCTAAACTTAGCATGATATAAACACAAGAAAAATACTTGAAAATTATGATATCATTTAGTATAACGTTCTCTGATACTTCAACATTTTCTACAGTTACTTATGGTTGAAACTTGATAGTTTGTCTAGAAGAATGCTGAAATACATGAACATCGCAAGCAAAGGATTTGATCTATTCCTTTGAATAACACAAAGCTAAGAATTGACTTTATTAAAAGGATTTTCTATCTATAATTTAGGCAGTTGAAGGTGGTTATTTTTATGAAAGCTTACTATGAAATCCATAAATATTAAACTAAGGAATACCTTTACATGCATAGATAAATTGTAAATATTCACTAGACCACTTAATGTTAATTCTTATCACTCAGATATTATTTCATGGCAATTTCAACTCAATTCTGAACTCACTATATATTGACAGCTTAATAAACAACTTATAATGACTAATCCATTAATTTAATCAATTTAAGCAGCTCGACACTTCAAAAACATATATACATAATGACTTGCAAAACTGAGTTTTAGTATTTGAAGTCATTCTTGTTCTTAAGAGACTATAGTGAAAAATAACATTAGAGAAACTGAATCCCATTTAAAGTCATTAGCAAGGCTTTCTTCAACATTTATTTAATCCAAAACATTTGAAAAAAAATTTTCCTCAATGATATATTCAAGTCTTTCACTGGTTTATATGAACATGTACAGTAGCTCTATTAAAATATTAAAACATGACATATGATATACATTTTATTCTTCTAGTCTTTTTTTGTCTTGAATTACCTGGTTTATTTTCAAAGTCATGCATCTTCATATAGCAAGTCAGTAACATAATATTTTTAATAAGGTAAAACCGTAAGAGTAGCAGACTGGCATTTATTACAGTAGTTGTTTAAAATTCCTGGATTAGAATATCAATTCCTCGTCAAAATCAAAGGAGAAATATGTCAGGCACACCTTGATTAAAGTGTGAATCAACAGAACAAAAATATTCAATAAAATAATGGCCTTGTGGTTTTGAAATAAATATTTTATATCTTATTGCAGATGTTTCCGTTGTCTTAGTTTTCAGACTTCTGATGCTGCATCTGGTTGTCATTAAAATATTTACCAAATATAGAATTCTACACTCTTATAAAATCAGCACAGACAGTATCAGATACTCATATGTATACATTATTGTATTATGTATTTTCATTTTAAAAATTACCTAAGTTGTGTGTGTTTGATTTGAAAATATAAAATAAAATAATGGAGTATTTACAAGGGCACTTTTCATATTTTTTTTTACAAAATTGCAAGAAAATAAGAAATCCTTCATTGATTTCTTTTATCAGAATGATTGCTAATTTGTCTACATAGTAGAAATGGAAGGGGCAAAGCATCTATTTACAGATACGGGGAAAACTGATTTCCTCCCACTTGTATAGTAAGACAGGAAGTGCGTGATGAGGCACTTTATCACATCAACCAAGATGTCTCCCTAATGACACAGATTTGGATTGAAGAACACATATCCTGTTCACCAGTTCTCAAAAAGAGATATGACATGGGGTATAACGGTGATATATGTGTATAGTAAATGAGTAAGTAGCTCACGGCAATTCTCATCAATTGCTTTTCTTAGATAAAAGATAGTAAGCCAACAGGGATAATTCACTCCTTGGGCCATTCGAGAAGGTAATTAGAAAAAATACTAGGGTACTTTCTGGGCAAAAAAATTCAACTGCTCTAATTGAAATATGAGATTTTTAAAGAAAATAATCAAAAATTACCTTTTCCTTAAATCTGCAAGCTTTAGCTAGGTCTTTAATGGAAACAAGAAGAGAATCCTGCCCCTGCCCAGCATGTGTCTGAAGTTTACAGTCATTCACGTGTGAATTCATGCATGGTGTGTGGAAGCTGGCTCACACCAACCCACAAGAGCGGATTAGGCTTGTCTTTTCTCCAGTTCCACGCTCCACATGTCAGGTTGGTAGTTTGACATCAGTCATGGTGAGAGTATTTCCTGGAAAACATTACAAACCAGGATGTTTTTTTCTTACAGAGAGCTGGCTGTTATGCAATAAGACATTACTGAATTCCTGGGGTGCTTTTCTTTATGACATTCAAAAAATTCATTTAATACTGAAGTCTTCTGGCTATAAAGTCATGAATCCAAGTCTTTGAGTTAGAAGTGGCACAAAACAGGCAATCATCTCCCTGTTTTCAATCATATAACTTTTCTGGTTTTAAGATAACATTTTCAACATCGTGGATGCTTTTTCCATTTAAGTGTTCACTAGGAAAGTCATGACTGTAACCTGGAACGTCACTGATGGTTGACACTGTGTAAGATGCGCTCCGGAGAGCATCCGAGTGGGAAAAACCGTTTCCAAATTGGATTTTGTATTGATTCCAGTTTCTTCTCAGAATGGCTTGAACCTATCAATCAAAAAGGATCAGAAGGAACAAAAGCAATCCATTAATTGCAATGAAGATAGTGTATTTAAAGTGCAATAACAATAGGCTTTGTAGACAAACATTTAAAAAAAATGATGTTAGTGATTAATCTTATTTTGTTATTTTTATTAAAAAATTGAGTTTAGTAAACCATCTTTTCATGAGGAAATATGTTGTAATTACTTTAGATTCCATTAATATGTTTTGTACCATGCCTTGTCTTCAAAGCTTTAATCATGCATATGTATATAATGTTGTCAAATAATTAATCTAGCAACTCTCCCACTTACTAATTTACAACATGTAGTTTTATGTTAATGTCTTTATTAATAGAATAAGAAGATAATGAATGAGAGTATAAAGAAAAGAAACAGAAAATAGGATGTAGAAAATGTAATTCTTCATCATCATTAGCAACAACAGCAACCTTTTACTAAATGGTTATCATGTGCTAGAAACTGTTCTATATTTTTAAAAAAGAAGAATAACAAAGTGTCCATGGACTGCCCATAAATACCCATGAATAAATAATTACAAATGGGTTAAATATTTGGTGGGAAGAAAATGGAAAAAAAAAATGTTTAAGAATGTGACTACTCCACTTTCATATATTTGGACCCCTTCTGCAAAATGAATTTCAGGTTCAATGACTCATCCTTCTTCTCCGAAGTTAGAGATCAGGGATAAATAGGTCATATATAGTGATTGTGGTTTTAATTGAATTTAAGACAATAGGGTAATGTTCTTCACCTCAAGTCCGTAGGCACAAATGAAAATATTCGAATACATCTCCTTCCTGATTAACTGGATATTTACAGGTATGATGAGTGAGCAGACTGGCTTTGAGCAGTCTGTTTCTGGGTTATGAAAGCTTTAGTCAAATCTCTGTGACCTGACCTATGTCTGCCCATACTGTGTTACTTTGAATGGTCTTTGCCAAGCTCTCTACAGCACCTTGATCTTTGGATACTTCCCCAAGAGGAATCTGAGCATCTAAAATCAGAGTTTCAGTAACTTATGGTCTATATACTCATCAAATAATTGTTAAACTTTCTACTCCTTATTTAGAATTCCTCAACTTTTTATTCACTATATTAATGCATACAAATCAATATTAAATCTTTAAAAAGGGCTACTTATTTTGTTTGAAATGGTGAAGAGCTTTTAATTTTCTTTTTTTATACAGGTATAGGCAGGTGGTATCACCTGTCTTCTCTGGCCCATAGTGTATAGCTCAACCTTACCTTCTAGGGAAGAGAAGGTTGGGTGAGTAGCTTTACTATTTCTCCAACTCGGTAGTTACCTGTGGGTACATTCTTTTTACTGCTTAGGAGTTTCTAAGGCAAGTGCAGGCTGATGTATGCAGAACAGGCTTTGCAAATCAATATTAAATCTTTAAAAAGGGACTACTTATTTTTTTTAACATTTTCTAGTGTAATAGGTCAACAAAACTCAATTCTGCAAATTACGAACTTTCTATGGCAAATATATATTCCTAGGATATCTAAAGTTTTATAGGATTCTTCAAAGTCCTGTTAAAGTCTCCTGGTTCTGTTACTTTAGATGAACATCAAGTTTTACTATCTCATTTCATGTTTTTAGCATGTAGGAAAGAAGGAAGGAACAAATATAGAGTCTACAATTTCTTTAGGTAGAACTCAAGATTAGGACTCGAGTTAGTTTCTCTCTATAATTCAAAAATTATATAATTAAAGTACAATAATATGGCATCAAAAGGTACATTTTATGAAGTTAAGCAATTTCAGGACTTTCAAGCTGATTTCTTTCTATATGGAAACTATATTTGAGGCAAATTGTTAATATGCATACAAATGTGCTTTGAAAATAAAAGCACTTAAAGGAATACCAATGATTCATCTTGTAAAGGATCATATGTTGTTTCCCACTGATTTAGTATATCATTCAAATTCTACAAATATCTAAATTCGATAACAAAAATATCTAAATTTCTGAAATAAGATAATTTAAAAATAATATGTGTACATTTAACACCCTTAAGAACATAGGCAAATGACAAATTGGGCAGCTTTAGGTTGTGAATTTGTTGGAGATTTAAAACAAAAATGACTTTTGCCTGATTATCTATATATTTCTGATGGAAACTATACTTGATCCTTATTTTTCTGCTTAATACATTTTTTTCTTATTGCTGGACTGATTGAGTATGTAGCTTCTGATTGAAAGGAAGTAGAATGTAGCTTTCTATAAAAAAATTCTACGTAAATGTTGGGAAGTTGACAGGAAACAATAGCTGTGAGTCTAGTACTACATTCTTAAAATGAAGCTCAAACTCAATTCTAAAAAGCAAGATAGGTTTTGAGATTTTGACTGTTTACTCTAGAAGTATCTACTTTGATAAGGGTAATCACCCTATTTCTTCTTTCCAACTAAATCATCAAATAAGCAATAGAAATTCACTTTTCTGAACCACCAGGTCTATTAAAAATTAAAAATAAATCTAATTAAAAAAGCATAGGCCTTGTAGGCTTCAGATTGCTTATATCATTCTTTATAAGGATATTATATTTTTCATCTACTTCTAAGACAAATATCATACCTATTTGTCAAAACAAGTTTATTAAAAGTGGCTACTTTAACATTTTTTTGAGAAAGGACTTTGAAAAATCCTACAAAACGTTAGACATCCTAGGAATATGTATTTGTCATAGATATTTGTGATTTGCAGAATTGAGTTTTCTTGACCAATTAGACTAAAAAATGATAAAAAATAAATAATCTCTTTTTAAATGTTTAATATTGAGTCTCCAGCTGTCTCAATGAGTACAGTGCTGTGGCATCATAGCTCACCGCAACCTTCAAGTCTTAGGCTGAACTGATCTTCTTGTCTTAGCCTCCCAAGTATCTGGGATTATAGGTGCCCAACACAATGCCAGGCTAGTTTTAGAGATTGGGTCTTGCTCTTGCTCAGGCTCCTGTCAAACCTCTGAGCACAGGCAGTCCACCTGCCTCGGCCTCCCAAAGTACTAGGATTACAGGCTTGAGCCAGTAAGTGGCTACTTTTAACAAACTTTTTTTTTTTTTTTTTTTTTTTAAGACAGAGTTTTGCTGTTGCCCTGGGTAGAATGCAGTGGCAACATAGCTGATTGCAACTTCAAATCCCTGGGCTCATCCATCCTCCTTCCTCAGCCTCCTAAGAAGCTGGGATTACAGGCTCACACCACTGTGCCTGAGCAGATGATTTTAAAAAGTACATGACATAGTTGGAAACACACAAAATGAATTTGGAAGGTGTTTCTTCATGTTTTGAGAGTGGGAAAAACTAAGAGGCAATGAGACACAAGAGGAGGGATTATAGTCTCTCTTAAGATGGGATGTGAGTCATACTCGGAGATTGCATCACTGGAGATGAGCTAAACGAGATGGATATCAGAGATGTTGTGAAGAATCACAAAGGATTTGGTAACAACCTGGCTCAAAGACGTTTTTATTATTGAATTTTTCTAATCCCAAAATGGTCTCAATTTTAGGACATGGCAGAAGATCAAGGTTCTGTATCTCTTTTGCTTACACAGATAGAGTACAACAGGAGTGTTAGGCAATTAGTTGGCTATTCCCTGGGCACTCCTTCTAAATAAAAGGGCCAATTTGAGATTTTGATTCCAATATGATTAATATTCTTGTTAGTATGTGTATTTTTGAAAGTGAATATTTGTAAATCTAGTAATCCATAATATACTGAATGGCTAGTAAAGATGGAATAGGGTGCTAAAACAATCCCTAGTTTACATTAATCCTTGAAAACGTGACTTTGCTCTTATTATGTAGTTAAGAAAGGCAGATTCAGATTTCTGAAAGTTCTGAGCATTTCCCCAAATATCACAGCCGGGAAGAAAGTGGCATCTTTGGTGCTTAAATGCATTACCATTTCCCATCGCAAAATATGATGCTAATTATTATGTTTTGAATATTTAAAATTTATATTTCCTAAAAATAAAATATTTTTCTGTAGATACAGAGGTACACCTTTCATATTTCATGCATATTCTTTGGCATGCTTTACATACCACTCTCATTTGTATTTAATTCTTAAATCCTGTGTAGGCAGTATATGGGATTGTCTAATTCAGTATATACAACAATAAATCTGTAGAGGCACATAGCAAATGACATTTAAATTTTATTACTAAGCCAAGTGATTTATAGTCACTGCATTCTCTTGTCTATACTTCTCACTGATTTAAAAAAAACAGCTGATCAACCTCTGTGTTGCATAAGAGATATGGAAACACCAATTAAAGATATGAAATAAAGTCTACTATGTTTGACAGTTCCACACCCTAATAAACAAATAAATATATAATATAAATACCTATGTTTTGAAATGTAAATATATATTAGCTTTTAATTAAAATTAAATGTCAAGAGGAAAAAAAAGCAAAATATTACTTAAGCAAAGGAAAACATTTTATAGTTTTTCATAATGTGTACATGATTTCCAAGGTTCACTGTTTTATAAGAATGGCTGTCATAAGTTATGCCAACTGGTCCCATATGTTCCCCATTGCATTTGATCTTAGCCAAAAGGCCAAGAAGCTTTGTGATCAGATTCACATTTATCAAGGGCTCTTGTCTCACTCAGTTGCTATCTGGATTTATAAACTTCATTCCATTTTGCTGAAATCTTCCTATAGGTCAAAATTTGTCAAGTAGATTAAAAACATCTAAGGAGCTAAGTTGATGGAGCTCAAACCACTGAGCTATAATCCAATTCATATGCATAGAAAATATGGTACCAGTTTTTAAAATGCTTGAAACTTCCCAAGTTAGGAAAGTGTTGGATAAAATCTGGAATTATCCAAGAACACATTGCCAAGTTATAAATTGGAGCAAACTATTTTAAATTTCATAACTACTCCATCTTCTCCATGTATAACTCAGAGTTTAATTGTTTCTAATCCTTTAGTACCTTCTGTAAAATTGTTTACAAGAACTGCATTGTGGGGCAGAGAACAAAAAAGGAGGGAAAATGAGCTGATCCTAATTCCTATCCCTGATCCTATTTCCTAACAGATTGAACATTCTATGAAGTTAAGGATTGCCCAACACTATACCTGGGACAAAGTCCAGACTTAGTAGGATTCAAATCGTAGTTCAAAAGAATAGATGAATAAAAGTCACTGACAAAATACTTCAACGTGAGGCTGACTTTTCCCTAGCTTGGGACTCCACTATGACCTGAGCTACATAAAAAGAGATTCTATTAATCTTTTCTCTAATATAAATGAAATTTGAAATAGTTATTTCTTGGGAATTTATAACTCTATCCTATGTTTTAAAAGAAAAAATATATTGTACATGTAGAATGATAGAAAGAATAAAATCAATTACCATACCTCTCCATTAAAGAAGCAGAAAATTGTAGAGACCAAAAGACCCTGCAAAAGAAAAACAGAATCATCTGAATTCAAATGGAAAACTGTACATTTCTAACCAACTTGCAGTATAAATGATTAAGAACGAAGCCAATGCTGTAAGAAAATTCAGTAGCAAGTTTCTAAAGCTGCCTTCTTGCTGTCAAGAACCCCATACCTGATAGTGCATAAGGATGTGCATGACGTAGTCATAGACTTCCTCTGCAATCCTTCCTTCGGGGCGCCATGGAAACAGCACAAATTCAATGCCAAGCAATGGCACCAGGATAAGAGTGGCTCTCACAGCTTTCATGTAGAGATTGGATTCTGCTTGGTGTGTAACTTTTAACTTGGTGATGAGAACACGCACAATATTCAGTAGGAAAAAAAGATTCACCTACAAAGAAAATAAAATGGCAGATATAAATCTCTTACATTTATTATTAAGAAAGCTTATTAAAGGGTCATCAATCTTATAAATCTTAAAATAGTTTTAATGCATAAGAATATGTTCTATTAAGGGTGTATTTGTCTACTATTTTAATTTGCATTTCCAGAATTGTGATTTATTTATTTAACAAGTACCTCAACTTTAAAGAACTTCTAAGTTAGAGAAACAAAATTAAGGTAGAATCATTGTGGAACACATTCAGTTGAGAAGTATTTGAGTGTTTTTATCAGCTCAGCTTCTCATACAATTAAAAAAATGTTTCTAAACTAAAGCTTTTGAACATTTTCAGCTTAAAGAAAAAAACTGTTTAGGTCAAATTCTAATTTTAAGACCTCACCTCTCCATCAGTGTCCTTATGATATATGTTCCAAATATATATTATACAATAATCACTATTTTCTTTTGGGGGTGGGAGTTTATCCTTATATTTCTTTAGTGGACAATAATATTAACACCACCACTTTCCACAATAATACTGGAATCCTCTTTATCCCTAGGGAACACTGAGTCATAAAATTGATGCTGTTTACATTCAGCCTAGGTTATCCTGAGTTAAAAACCATTTGGTATAAGATGGCATAACCATTTGGTAATTACATAGTCACTGTTTATTGGGTCTTAACAACTTTCCTCAAGAGACAACATACCTTTTGAAAGGGAAACATAAAACTTTCTTATTTTCACCCAACTCAGTATCGTTTACTTTTGCCCATTTTCTCCATGCCCATTCCATTCCTCATGACTTTAATCCCAGAAGAAATCCACAGCAGCATCTGTCTTTTATGTAATCTTAAAATTTCTGACTACAAACCAATATATAGTTTATATGTATGTATTTCAATAAATTGTAAAAGTATTGGTAGTATCTCATTTAATAAAGGAAATAAATTAACAAAGAACACAAATTTGCTAATATAAAAGGGCACGTGTTATGAAATGAATGGGTCATAAAAATAGTCTGCCACTGTTCTTAGAGAATTCAAAGGAACATACCCTTTAAAAACATGCAGCTCACTATAGCCCTGATGGAAACACATCTATAAAAAGTAATATGTTTACAGTCACAGGAATGTGACAAAGACAAAGTGGAATAAGCCCCTTCAACAGATGTCAGAATGAAACGTGACAAATCAACATGTCAGCTGTTATTCCACCCATCCAAATGTAGTCCTGCCCTAAGAATTCATGGCTGTTCCAAAGTTTTCACTAAATTAAAATTCTCCCATTCCATAGGAGGAAAGATAGTGCTAATAATGCTTATAAATTTATAATTTAGAATATTTTATAATCCTAATATATAAAATCACCAATTACAAAAACACAGTAGAAATGTTCCTGTTTAGATATCTGCTATATGAAAAAAAAACTTTAATGTAAAGTGTTTCTCCCAAATGGCAAGTATGATTTAAAATGTGAAAATAGAAAGTAGAAGCTAGAATTGACCATGGAATTAATCCTTCTGTTAGCTAATCTGTAAGGATCTGTGTCACAGGGAATTGGATGCTTTTTTCTAGGCCATTTTTCACATACGATAGTTTTCAGAATTATAATCCTTTGTCTTCATTTTGTGTAAATACTTCCATTTATTTTAAAGAAAAATAGAACAGGAAGTTTAAATTTCAGATGAACTATTTTGTCCATCCAAAAGCAAAACAAGTAAAGGAGAAAAGAAGAAACCTATTTTAACTGACACACCCATAAAGTTCTCATCAAGACATTTTCAAATTACAATACCACCCAGGGTCATGAGAGGAAGCCAGGAGAATCATCAGTACAGAGGCTGTAGGAGGGTTTCTGGGAGCCATTCTCATGTAGGAATGGCCCCATCACTTAACTATGCCTTGTGGTGACCCAAATATCTCTCACTGAACCTAAATTAAATGTATCTTCCCTCAACTTCCCCATAGTAAGATCTCAAAAATGCTGAAATCACTCCAATACCACCCTGTTCAGAGGAAATGTTATGGAGGAAGTGTGAGTGAAAAAAATTGATTGTGGTTAAAATCAAAAAACCACAAGTGACCATATGATACATGTGACCATATGAACGATTGCTAGGAACCCTCCGAGCAGTTTGGAATTGTCCATGACTGAAAAGCAGGCCTGGAGCTCAAACAAGGACAGAGCAATTTAACCTGGTAGAAAAATAGATTCTTAATCTTGTTTTAGGCCAACAAGATGGAAAAGGTTAATGAAAATAATGTGGATCTTTATTCTTTTCTTACTGAGTAGTTTGATGATGAGCTACATACCTGTATGATAATTGAGCCACCCCCGTCAGCTATTCTTCTTTCCCATAGTTGACCTGGACATGTTTTTCTAAGGATTGTGTTAGCTGCTCTTAAATTTTGCATTTGTTAGGTGTTTTGACTTCCAGAACCTCTCTAATTTAGGAGTTCAAATCACGTAACCCTCTGGGCAGTCAGATCTTTTATAATAAAATGTTGTCTGGTATTTGTTTTAGAAGTTCGTGGATAGTCCAAACAATGCATCTTAATTTTTTTGAGTTCTCTCAAAACAGAAGTTTGGTATCACGCAGAAATTACAAGTGAAAAAACTTTTTTAAGCCATTTTTTTTTTTTAGAATTTATTATTAGGCACTATGCTAATCACTTAGTAAAAAATATATTATTGAATTGTTACAATACCCTGTGAGGTGCTATTATTTCTTCACTACAGATGAGAAAATTAAGTCATAGGGAGGGTTAAGAACAAGAAAAAAAAAAAAAGACTTAGTTTGAGATGCACAGCTAATTGTGGCAGAGCCAGGATTCAATGCAGGCTCCTTGAATACAAAGAATACAAAGCCAGGCAGTTTCAGGGTACAGTTTAAACACAGTGTGTCAAATACATCCTTAGTATGTGGGGGGAATAAAAGAACGAAGTACTTCTGCCTTTGAAATTTTCACTATAATCTATATTAAAGTATATTAAAATTTTCATGAGAGCATAAAAACTTTCACGAGAATGGCTTAAAAATGACAGATTTTTAGACAGGTTTGAACAGTGTTTGAATATAATCATATACTAAATTGCACCTGGCAAAGATAGCAAAATGATGGAAGGATTTCATATAATAAAGAGTAAAAACAAGAGTCAGAAAGCTTTGCATTTTCGATGAGAAATATAACACCTTTTAAAATATACAATTTAATACCAGCTGCAGTGGAAGTACCACTCTTAGAGGCTGCAGTTGCATTATGCTCTCTATGAGAGAAAGCATGCTAACACGTATTAATTAATTTCCCCATTCAAATAGAGTAATAAAAGCCCTGACTGTGATTTCTGCTTCTCTGCAACCGCACTAAAGATGTTCAATTGGTTCATTCACATTAAGTACTAATTATTATAGGAATAAAATGGCTTAAGCAATAATCCCGTTTGTTGAACTCAAGCCTTCTTTATTGGAATGCTACTCTTATGTGAGCGTATCGGCTTCTCTCACATGGTGCACCTCCTTACTAGATCCGCCTTCTGTCCTGCTCTGTGCCCCAGGAAGCTGACAGCTGTGAACTGCCTTGTTACCTAGGCTTCTTGTCTTCTCACAAGTGCTGCACTGGGCTAATGGGGAGAACCAAAAAATCAGAATATGGGGAGAAAGAAAAGTTTGAGTATTTGTTTCTAATTCATCTTCCCTGCCAGGCTGTGGTTTGGGCAGTAGATGTTTTCCTCTCCCTAAGGTCACAACTCCCTCAACGCTCATCCAACTCTGGTAACACTGTCCCTTCCCCTCTTGAGGGCTGGGCCTGGTCACAGTGTCCCACTCTTGGTCCTGATACCTCTCTAACCCTTTCAGATTAATTCTATTGCCTTTCCTGCCCACAAATCAAATATGACATCTTCACTAAATTGTATTCATTTGAGCGCTGTGGGCACATCCTATATGGCCTCTGGGATCCCGAAGGCTATCACAGGACAGATGATTCAGGAAATATAGTTGAAATGTGAGCAGTGATAGAGAAAGGAGACGTTTTGATTACATACCAGTAAAGCAGCACAAATTGGGCCGTGGATTATGTAGAGGAGATGGGTATCAGAACTGATCCAGCAACTAGGGAAAACATAGGGACATTAGGTTGAAGATTTTCATTTTATTTAGTACAAATAAAAATCATAAAGAGAGATTATCTTACTTGTCATTGTAATATAAGCTTCTGGCAACAGCGTGAATGCAAGCAGGAATCAGGGGAAATCCTGTAAATAACAAATAAAAAGAAAATAAATGGAAGCTTTCCATAGAGATTGAACTTCTAAACTATCCAGTGAAATGTGATACTGCAAAATATCCTAGAAGTAAAAAAAAAAAAAAAAGAGGAACAGAAAACTAGTCACCATACGTTTATTGAATCTAGATTATCTGTGTAGTAAAGCAATAAATGTGACAAACTGTTAGGCAATTATATTTTGTGTTTTTTGTGTATAAATGTTTATACATTTTCTTCTTATACAAGTCATTTTGAATCAGTGGATTCTTGAGCTTAACGTTCATAAAGATGCTGCCTAAACCGTAAGGCTAAGAAGAAACTTAGCATTAACATACTTTCTGGGAGAAGGAATTAGCCAATATTTGTAGATTATCAGATATGGGAAGAAGCTGAGACTGATGGGAACTTCCACTTGAGAGACACATTAATGGTAAGCCCTTATCTGAAGAAGCAGAGAAGGAAGAGAAAGAGATGATTTATATATCACAATTTTTGTATGCTTTAATCATTCTAAATCAGATCTTTCAAATATGAAATAAAGAAATGTTTTAGAAGTTAATCAGAACATACTAAAGATCGTGTGTGTGTACACATGGCTCTACAGACACACACACACACACACACACATAGATGATAGATAAGTAAAATTTTAATTCTATTTCTGGAAAATAGACCTTTGAATTCATTTTCTGTATTTTATATTTTGCATTATTCTATTTTTTTAATGTGCCAGAAATAAATTGCCATTTGCTTTGTGAATAATACCATGTCAGGATATTGTGTGCAAAAAATAGATTTTAGAATGCCGTTATTCAATTACTCATACAAAGTGACAATTTTGAAAAAGAAATATTTTTAGAATGGAACTTCAAAGTTATATAAGTCTAATGCTCTCATTTTATGTAAGACAAAGAGGAAGATTCGGAACAGGGCAAAGACTAGTTCCCTAACCTGTGATTCGAAATCTGAGGTTTAATCTTCACGTATTCTGTGAAGATATAACATTCATTAGAATATTAAATAGAAAAATATCTACTATTAATTGACTAATGAAATCAATGAGACAGTGATACTTAAATATTTCAACTTATAGCAATAAGCAAAAGTTAATTACCTGACATTCTTTCAAAATGATTAATCATATTTGTATTACAGAGGAGTATAAAAGCTTTTTCAGTCAGTTGAATCAGTAGATGTACAATGGCACTTACCCCAGCCAAGAAAATAATACCACATCAAGTGTTGCTTCTCTGCGAACACTGCCACCACGATGAGCGTGTGTAGGTAAATGCCTTCACAGAGCATCCAAAAGTAATTACAGCCCATCAGGTAAAGGTGAATGAACTGGGACACTTTGCAGCTAACCTGTGGGGGGGGAAAGCAAGTAACAGTTAGTTGTTTCTGAATTTACACGCAAAGCAATGGTCTACTTTAATTCAGGAAATAAAAAATTATTTTTTCCTCTTTACAAAATCTTACACATTAATGATTCAGATTTGTAGAATGATAGTCTTCATAAAGATCTAATGATATCTCTAAAGGTTTTAGCTGTCACAGACTCCAGAGATTTATAATGGTCTATCTCCAAAAAATGCTCAATTTCCAAATCTACTTCATTTAGTGGGATATGTATGTTTCTATTGTTTTTGGTTATTATACCGTAAATAAGTATAAAATTTTCACACATTAGTAACTTTACACCTATTTACATCTAATTATGTCAACATGAATTTCTTGATTGTTGTATTCCGTTGGAAAAAAACTTAATTTTTAAAACCAAGTCATTAAAAGTCTGTATCTTTGAATGAAGAAAGTAATATTCAAAACTTTCATTAATACATTAAATAATAATTTAATCTTCATTAATTCTAAAAAATCTTTGTCTTGTGTAAAATGAGAGCATTAGGCTTATATAACTTTAATTAAACTTTCTTTAATTAAATAATAATTTAATTTCTGGTTTGGTGCCCATAGCACAGTGGTTACAGTGCCAGTCACATGCATGAGGCTGGTGGGATCAAGTCTGGCCCGGGCCAGCTAAACAGTAACGATAACTGCAACAAGAAAATAGCCGAGTGTTGTGGTGGGTGCCTGTAGTCCCAGCTACTTGGGAAGCTGAGGCAGAAGAATCACTTAAGGTCAAGTTTGAGGTTGCCATGAGCTATGATGCCACAGCACTCTCCTGAGGGCAACATAGTAAGACTCTGTCTACAGTAATAATAATAATTGAATAAGTCCATATATCATCCTATCCAAATATTGGATTTGAAGATTTCAGTATGTAAAAAGAAAAAAATATATATAGTTTTCTTTCCCCTTTTCCTGAGCTCTCCATTTTCTCTTTTCTACTGTTAAGGAGGCGGGAGAAGGGAGGTTCATTTATGGAGTAAAGAAAACACAAATGAGTAAGAGATATAGTTTACTCTCCTAACAAGGAGAATAGATTTAAAGCTGTCCCAGAAACACATTGCCATTCCTATCAATTCCAGTTTTCAATCTGGAACTCAATAAATATTTAGTAACAATTATTATTATTTTAAATACATTTTTTTCAGTAAAAGAAAATGCACAGCAAAACAAATATTAAATTATCAGAGAATAATAGTAATAATAGTAATTATAACATTTATTATTATTATAATAATTTATTGTTATTATTATAAATAATAATAACATTTGCAAAGAAGTTAACTTAAAAGTAATGTATATTTGACTCAGCAACTGTGGCTCAGCAGCTAGAGTGCTAGCCACATACACCAGAGCTGGCAGGTTCAAACCCAGCCCGGGCTGCCAAACAACAGTGACAACTACAACCAAAAAAAAAAAAAAAAAAAGCCATGTATTGTGGAGGGCACCCATAATCCCAGCTACTTGGGATGCTGAGGCAAGAGAATTGCTTAAGCCCAATATTTTCAGGTTGCTGTGAGCTCTGACGCCACAGCACTATACCCATGGTGACAGCTCGAGACTGTCTCAAAAAAAATGTATGTTTACATATATCATTTTATTTAAGCTTATAATAATCTTGTAAGAAGTGCATTATCATTAGCTGTATGTTTTATAAGTAAAAAGCAGAGTACCAGAAAAGTCAAATGATTCACACATTAATCAAAGCTACAACCTGAACATTATTTTACAATCCCAATTTTGTTTTCACTACAGTACACAATGCTTCCTGACAAAAAGATATTTGTAAGACCTATCCTTCATTAAATGTACCTGTAGAAGGCATGACATTCATTTTTAAATAATATGTCTTTATATTAAATGCAACATTAAAGTACTCCCAACGGTAAAAATGGATTAATAACTATATATGTATATGTAAAATAAATTTCAGCTTCCAATTTTTGTCTGTATTGTTTTTAGATATTTATATCTAATTGGGTTTCTAATTTTTGATTTTATTTAACAAATTAATCTATAGACTATTACAAGTAAAAGAATTTAGAGCATGCTTCAGGAAAAATGTATCTGTGCAGGGTATTGGTGATAAAACAAATAATAAATTTTTCCAAAACTACAATTTATAATTTGTATATTTAAGCACATCCTGGTATATAAACGTGAGATGTTGAATTGCTTACTCTGCAGCTTTATAACAAACCTTTGAATCATTTTGTCCTAGGAAAATTTACTCTAAAATAGCAGGACGCTGGCCAGTTTTTCATATTGCTAATTATACCCCGGTGTGTTTCCTAACCCAGTGACTTCAGAGTGGAACATATACAAGATTAAGCAATCCGGATGCACATGTGCAAACAATGTAGGGAATTTAAAAATTCTGGAAATTACCCTAAAAACACACATAAAACACAGTTGAGAGTGTTGTTTATTGACCCATTGGGTGAAAATTCCTTCCCTTCCTTGATCTCAGTTACTAGATAACTTATTCTTGGGGGAAAAAAAAAACTTTATACACACACATACCAATATTATGAAGATTATGAAAATAGATGATTAAAACATTTGAATGTATGTATATGTATGCAGGCGTTTTAATTTAAACACATATACATATAACTTGCACCAAATGCACACATTTAATAAATAATTTTAAACTATGTATTTAAAATATGGCTTTTAAAGAGACAACATATAAATTTTTATGAAAACTGAGAACTTTGTAGCTCATTTTAAAATTTCACACTTTGAAGTTTACTGTTTTGTGGAGATTTATAATTCTTTTTTTTTCCTGGTTTACTGACTTTTTAAAGTCTGCCCGATACTAAAAATATAACTTAATTTAAATATACCACTTTACATGCTATTTTTCTAACTACACAGTTAATAGTTTTGATTTTTTTTCATTAGATTGAGTAAATGTTATGTAGTCATAAACCTTTATATCCCATTAGCAGCAAGATTCTACAACCATATGAGGTGAAGGTATGTGTGACATGTATAAATAATTGAGTTAAGAAACGCATTCCTCTCTTTGATGTTTACTTTTTGTATGTGGCAGAATGTTGAGAAATATTTGGCTTTCTAGGTTGGGTCACACACATAATGCATAGAGCAGCACCCCCTCCACTTCTCCACTAACTCCTCGAACCTAAGGACACACTCTTGTTTTACTTACGGGATTTGTGGCTACTAAGGCCTGGTTGTTGGCCACTGCAGTGAGATGAATGATTGTTACAACAGAGTTACAAACAAAAGAGAAGAACAGATTTTTGTGTAAGGTGATCCTTTGGCAGCTGAGGCTCCTAAAAGGCAAGAAAAACAAAGTGTGTTGACATCATCAGATGCTTCTTATTAATCGTCATTCAAATCAGATCGTTTCCTAACTCAGAGCAGTGACTCTAATTCTGGAAGAATTAGTTTTTTTCTCCCCAAGAATCAGTCATTATAAAAGATTAATTAGGCGAAACTAATTCCTTAAGACCTAAAGAGGAATGAATTGCTTTAGTGGAGCAGACATACACAGGGACAAGAAATTTGCTGATAAAAGGCTTCCCTGTAGTTTTTTTCTACTGATTTCTGGACATGATTAGTATTTTACATCATTATGCAAATCCAGAGACTGGGATTTAGGGTAGCGAGACTGCTGATCAAAAATTGTACAGCTAATTAACTTGAACACTTTTTATCTGTCAAATTTTCACATGGGCAATGCTCTTTTCTTGACGACATATAGCTTGTTTTGTAACACACATGTAGCCGTGTTCCGTTGTGCTGGGGGTGATTATGCAGACCAGCTCTGTGAAGGACAGCAATGTGTTTACAGTAGATCAACAGATACAATATAGAGGTAGCGATCAGTGAGGTTTGCTTGGTGTTACTGAATTTTTCTAATTGGCCCAACCATACATAAGATATATGATAAAATAGTTCCAACTCCATGGAGTTCCTCTTGTATAAAACAAAAGGAAAAATTATCTGCGTGGAGGTCATAGAGAAGTAGATTTCAGGATAAAGTGTCCTTGAGGATAAGTTGTGCAACTCCCAAGACTGAATTCACACTCACTCTAGCCTGACCATCCCCTATGACTGCCTTGCCTATGCTCAGTCATCGCTTTCTTCATTAAACCTTTACTCAAAGACTTATTACAGAAACAGTTTTAAAATAAAGAACATGATCTGCTTAAAGCTGAATACTTAATGTCAAGTTGAACACATAGATAGGAAGACATGAAGAATCATTCCCTTACAGACATAAAATCTTATTTTGTATATTTTATAAAATTGTGCAATTAATACTGTCAACCTATGTGACCCATGGCACATAATTAAAACCAATGATTTGTACTTTGGAAATGTTAAGAATATTTTTACTTGATTTTATCACTCCATCTTCTTATCCTACATAGAAGGGATGCCCAGAATTTTGGAACTGGGATGAGATGCCAAGGTATCCTATATTTAAAAACGCAAACTTTAGGCTATATTGACCCTGAAAATTTTTCCACCTGTAGGTCTGTAATTCTATATATGGCTCTAGTATTTTACAAACCCCCAAAAGGAATTCAGTTCAAATCAATATTTATGGATTGTCAATACACGCCTTCAACAGAAGCATATGTTATTAAGGAAGACCTCCTTAAGATGGCTCGCAGAATGATTGTTAAGTGTAAGATAGTTATGTACCAACAAGTACATGAAATCTTGCCAGAATCCACCAAAACATGAACAACTGAGAAGAGCTAGTATTTTCATATTAAAGACTTATTCGCTGTGACTTGACTTTGCAGCAGATAGGAGGAATGACAGGTGGGCAGCGATCAAGCCTTATCTACAGAGTACTGACAATATTTTATGGCAAAGAAGAATCTTTGGGAATTTTGAATAAAGAAGTAGCATGATTCCTGTTATTAGTTAAGGCTATTCAATATCAAGGAAAGGACAGCCCTCATTTTTGATAAAATGCCGTAGCAGCAATGTGATTACTTTGATTACTTTTTAATTGATAAATATGAGAAAAGGTCTAGTTAAGAATATTCTATGTAAATCAATTATATTATGTGTGGCTTATTTCTGCAATTTATCAGTTTTCTATGATGGAAGTTTTAGGTCTATAAAATTTGTCCACATAATCTTAAGATGCCTGCTTTGAGCTTACCCTGTAAGCTGAGGGAGGAATTGCTCTCCCCTGCAGTTATACACCTTTTTAGTAAGAGAATTTAAGTAACTTAGCTAACATCACAAGAAAACATAAAATAAAATGTTTTTCTTAACTACACAATTTTACCCTTTTCTGCTGATCTCACTTATATCTAAGTGCATTAGTTAAGACACACACACACACACACACACACACACACATACAGATAGCCAAAATTTCATAGTTCTCAAATTATGATCAAGGTACTGAGTAGGTTCACTTAGCAAATATGACATATTGGTAAGGAGAAAATTGGAATTGGGAAAAACAAACAATAAGAACAATGCATTACTGAAGAGCTGAAATACAGTAGCTAGGAACATAAACAAACATTTATATTTTAATTATAATGATATGTCAATAACATTCACATGTGAAAAGATAGGAGCTAGTAAAATAAGTGGTAAGTTGAAATAATTAATTTTCTTTGAAAACATTTAAATGACCTTCTCTTGTATATGACCATTTGTGTTTCTGTTTCTCTCGAAATTCCAACTTTCTCCATGACCCTGCTCCCACCTCAATCTGTCTTAAAAGGTAAGTACTTGAAAGTGAGTTGTTAGTATATTTTCTCTTCTAAATGTGATTATTGTGAGTATGGCCACAGAATAGAGTCTCACTTTCTCACCCTCTGGTAGAGTACTGTGGTGTCACAGCTCACAGCAACTTCAAACTCCTGGGCTCAAGCGATTCTCTTGCCTCCGCCTCCCAAGTGGCTGGGACTACAGGTGCCTGCTACAGTGCCTGGCTATTTTTAGAGATGAAGTCTCACTCTGGCTCAGAATGATCTCGAACCTGGGAGCTCAGGCAATCCACTCACCTGGGCCTCCTAAATTCTGGGATTAAAGGCATGAGCCAGGATGCTTGGCCTTTCTGCTCTCACTGTGATAAAAGGATCTGTGCGGACTGCATTTCCCTTTTTAGACTTAAACAATGTTGATATGGGAAAACTTTTGAAATAATAGAATGAAATTCACTTGAAATGAACTTTAAACAAAACATAGACCTAAGTTATTTCATTATAAAGACATACAAGTTTGAGTGTTTTACAAAATAATCCAGAAAATGTGGTCAACCTGGATAACCCACCCTAGGTAACTCAAACCAAAGACTTCTGCTTTGGAAACCCTGCTATCCAGGTTAGCTGTCCAAATTTTAATAAACTGGACCATTGCCAAATAATTTCATTTTGTGTTGTGTAAATGTGTCTTACTGTCTAAAATATTAATCTCTTGCTTTAGTTTCTTCCATTTCCTGCCTCCAGGAACTGCAACTTTAAGTAATGCAGGCAGATGCTATCTGACATATGGTTTCTGTCAATGCCTAGAGGTAAAATGGCTCAGATTTTTCTAGTGATGCATATTGTTTTCCTCTAAACATATTCATGAACACTTGTAAGTGGATTGGTACGAATAAAACCAACGTGTAAATGAAAACCAAATGTAACTGATAAACAAATGTTTTATTTAAATAAGACCCTAAATACTTATGCATTTTTTCAATTGTTAACCTGCAATCAACTTTACTTACTTTAATGTTCTCATTGTATTCTAAATATTAAAATCAATTATTTTATAGGCATAAGAAAACTTTACAAAAAGTTTTCTGTCTTCTTTGAATTTTATGATATCCTATTCTATCTTAGCATAACCACAGCACACAAAATATGGTCTGTGGGTCTGGATGGTTTCCATTTCATATTCTTTACAGAATTACCTTAGACCACTATTTCAATATGCAATTTTGGCAAGTAGAGTCACAGAGGCACTAGGTGCAAGTGTGTCAACAAAATTGTTACATTTTATATGCAATGACACGTCTTTTCAATTATCTTTTGGAACAATTAGAAGCAGGTAGTTATCAAGTTAGCATACAGAGTTCACAGAGTGAATCTAAACTCTGCCATATATTTGTAGTATGACTTTGGGCAAGTTATTTGAGCACTCTAATCTTTAATTTTTTCATCTATAGTTTAGATAGTTGTACTTTATGAATTGGCTTGAAGGTTAAACGAGATATATCATTTTAAATGCTTAGCATAGCATCTAACCCATGATGAACACTCAATATTAAGTTAGTTGTTATTTTATTTATTTATTTATTTATTTATTTTTGCAGTTTTTGGCCAGAGCTGGGTTTCAACCTGCCACCTCCAGCATATGGGGCTGACGCCCTACTCCTTTGAGCCACAGGTGCCACCCTAGTTGTTATTTTTTAAATACAATTATCATATGGCTAATTGTAATTGATACTATACTGGTTTTCTGTGACAAATAATAAAATAGCAGGAAGGTTCTTCTGAGTAAGGTAAAACTGCCTCTGTATTAAAATTCTGTTTTAAGTAACTCAATGAAGCAGTTAAGAAACATCATCTTTTTCTTACAAAACAGCATTAGAAAAACAATTTCCCTATGATAAAAAGCAATAGACAAAGCAACCTAAATTATCTTCCCAGGGACTTTCATTCTTCCTATAGTTGTTACCAAATTACCAAGTTCACTACTAGGCTGACCCTGAATATTAGACACTTCAGCTTCAAAGTTCAGCCACTCGCATGGACAATCGCCTTGCCTTTGGCTTCCATCTGCTTTTCATATGAGCTAAAAATTTTCAAACATCTTTCCTCAATATTAATCATGAGCAAAACAAATAATGAAAGGAGAGAATGCACGCAATATAATAATATCCCAGTCTACAAAGTATTTTCTTACTCTTGTTTATCTAATTTAATTCCCAAATGATCAGATCTTTTCCCAAGAAAACATTAGCCATGTATACAAAAAGGAAAACTCATGCCAATCTAAACAATGCCAAAGACAACAAATGTATCAAAAGAATAAGAAGTATGCCTATCTTTTGTCTACTGAATGAATACTTGAGTGGATGGGATGAGCAGATTATGTACGACAAAAAGTATTTGTAACCTCTATCAATAGCTTGCATTAGGAGACTGCTGGTGACCCATTTGGATAGATTAGAAAGAGCTTTCAATCGTTCGAATTGGAAAGTCCGTCTGGAGGAGAAATGGATGGTGTGTCTTCCTCCATCCTGCTCCCTCCTTCCCTGCCTTTACCTTTCAGGGATGCTTATTTAAGGTAACTTAGG